ATATCACGAGTCGACGACGTTTATTGGCCCAGTGCCCCGAATTTGGCTACAGTATCATCGCAAGTCATGGCGTAAAACGTGGCTTGGACTGAAGGATTCCTCGTCCCGCCTTGCTACCTTCTCTGTGAACGCTGCCTTCGATCACATAAACACCCGCCAATTGACCGGTTTCACTACGACTCCAAATGAGCGAATTTATAGCTCAAGTTTCCCGCAACCCGATGACACTTATGAAAATCAGGAGCCAATGAAACCCACATCAATAGCGCCGGTTGATACGTCCCAAGAAGAACTTGCAGCAGGGAATCAACAGCTGAACCATATTGAAGGTGAACACTATGGCGACTTAGGCCATATGACTAATGCATTGGACCGACAGCGTTCAAACGTGAGACGGTCGTCGACGGATCATGCTACCATAGAAGAGTATTTTACCCCGAGTGAGTCGCTAGAGTGGAAGAACAGGTCCGGCATTTTTGATTCAATAGACACGCAAACCCGACACCCAGGAATATTGAATGCGGACCAGAACATTCGTCGTCAACCTACCCCAGCGAGCGATTTAGCACCAAACCAACCCGAAACACCGTTTCTGTCATTATCCACTTGTGAAAGCCCGCATGGGATTGATGCAACAGAATCTACCACATCTTTAATACCACATAGAAAACAATGTCCTGCAAAATTAATATCTAAGGAGTCATCAAGGCGTCTTCGAGCAAGAGAATCTTGTGACGGAGCTGTACTTTCTGGGAAGGGAGGCACAGGCCATCCCCTAACCGACCAGGGAATATTGAGTAATGTCACCTCAGGAATGGTTCGATTCCAACAAGATGGCTCAACAGCTATAAATCCGCAATCGCGCGTGGAACCGCTGAAGTTAAAGGCCCGCGAGAGGGCAAAGGGGCGACGTCGAACTCTTCTACCGAGCAACGATGGTGAAATCATTAGAGCAGAGCGTATGCTAGTTCGTATTGATATCACAAAATTGGGATCACTTCCAAATGATTTTAGTGAAAACAACAGTATTAAAATAGAAACCCGAATTTCCGAAAAGTGGAGAGAATATCTGGTTGCCTGCCGCCGGGGCGCTGATGAGGAAACCCCTATTATCCTTCATCTCTATAAAACCAGAGTTATTCCCCAGGTACAAGTTTCACGGGTGAAGAAAAGTTCATCTCGCGAGATTCCTCTTACACTAGGATTTACGCGGGTTAACTTATTTTCATCCCTCGATAAAACCATCGTTATTTGGCACCCTAATCATGAAGGAACTGTCCTGTTTATAATGCGAGCAAAATCATCAGCTCACTCCATGGAATGGTACACCTTTCTTCGTACGACACTTGGATGGCAACGCCCCACAAACCTTATAGTTCACGTCCCTGATCTCGACATTGCTGTGCTTCTCAAGCACCCGTTTTCTCACTTACAGAATGATCGCATTATGGCTGACCAAGATGACAATGAGGGACGCTCAATACTTCTCAGGACAATGGCCGAGGAACGGGCAATTGCAGCTGGCATAATTAAGACCTGTATGGACACGTTATCTGAATTCCCAGAATGGGATTCTATCCTGAAAGTATGGCCGGGCTCTGAGAAAATGGGTTTGGCCTGGCGAAGGTATGATAGACTAGAGTGGGTTCATGGAGCCAACGAGGAACGAATGTATGGAACGATAGCCATGAGGACATCCCATGAGCTCGAACTACGACCCAAACGGCATTATCCGACGAGTATAAAGCACTGTGGGGCTAAAGAAGCCACAGAAGAGCCACCACCTGTTGAAGGGTTCCTGATACTGCTTACTTCCCAAAAAGGCAAACACCAGCGGTTAGGAAAATCCTACTCTCGGCGACTTTACTTCCACGTTCAGAATCAATACCTATGTTTTTGTCGACCCGGGAGAGCTGTGCCTCCCCCTCCTCCACGGCCACCAACCACTGCTGGGTCTGATATACCAACCGTCTCTCAACTTTCCAAGGACACTCCTATGATCTATTCCATCGATCCATATCCCCTGCGTAATGGGAAAATCACGTGGCTTTCAAGAGTGGCGCGACATCATCGAGAACAACATGATGCTGAAGCCTACCACGAGAGCAGAAGGAATCTAAAAAATCTGGAAAGAGCTGAGG